AGATGGAATGCTACGCGGAACGCCGTCAACACAAGGAATTCTTTTGACTCCTTGTAAGGCGGTGTATGGACCGAGATTGGAGCCGCTGAGGACACTGATCGATGGTAGTTCAGGCGCTACCTGCACCCAGACTGCAGACATAATGCAGGTCTGGCGGAAACACTTTGACTGTCTCTTGCACAACCGTTCAGAGATCGACTGGCCTACATTGAATGGCCTGAAGCAGCACGATGTGAAGGCGGATCTGGCAGATACGCCGAGACTGGATGAGACGCAGAGAGCACTTGCTCAGCTGCGAAACGGCAAATGTGCCGGAGGTGACGGGATCCCACCTGAAGTATTGAAACACGGTGGACCCGCGTTGTTGACTGCGCTGCACCACTTGGTGCAACGCGTGTGGATTGAGGAGGAAGTGCCTGCTGAGCTGAAGGATGCCCTTGTGCTACCACTGTACAAGGGCAAAGGTAGCAAGCAATGTTGCACGAATTATCGTGGCATCAACTTGCTGAGTTGTGTGGGCAAGGTGATTGCCCGAATCCTGCTCAATCGCCTCGTGAGTCAGATTGTGGAACCTCACGTGGCGGAAGAGCAATGTGGATTCCGTTCGGGTCGCAGCACTATAGATATGGTGTTTGCGGCTCGTCAGTTGCAAGAGAAGTGCAGAGAACGACACCAGCCTTTGTACTCGCTTTTTGTTGATTTCACCAAGGCATTTGATACGGTGAACCGCGAGGCACTGTGGCTGGTGTTGGGTAAGTTTGGTTGCCCGCGTAAGTTTGTAAGTTTAATTGAATGTCTGCACAGTGGTATGCGAGCGAGGGTGCAGCTGAGTGGAGAGACCTCTGATGACTTTACAGTTGTCTCTGGTGTGAAGCAAGGCTGTGTGTTAGCTCCTGCCCTGTTTAATATCTATCTTCATGCAATGTTGTCTTGTGCTTTTGATGCGGCTTGTGTTTACGGTGTTCGTGTGGAGCACCGTATTGATGGTGGGTTGCTGAACATCCGTCGTTTCGGTGCGAGAACTCTAGTCTGTGAGACAACTATCCGTATGTTGCTGTTTGCTGACGACTGTGCGTTGTTTTCACACAACGCGGATGAGTTGCAGCACATGACTAGTGCTCTGGCTTCGACAGCGGCCAAATTCGGGCTCACCATCAACACAAGCAAAACTGTCTGTCTCTTTCAGCCTTCACCGGAGGTGCAATCTTCAATATTGCCGCAAATCAGCATTGGTGCTGAAGTATTGGAAACCACCTCCCGCTTCTGCTACCTTGGGAGTGTGATGTCGACTGATCAGCAGCTACACATTGAGTTGCGTAATCGCGTGTCGAAGGCGGCAGCGGCATTCGGGAAGCTAGAGTACCGAGTGTGGAACAACCATCAGCTTAGCATTTGCACGAAGCTGATGGTGTACAAATCCATGGTACTGTCCGTTCTTCTATACGGCAGTGAAACGTGGACGATGTACCGTCGGGATGTGCGATATCTCGAGCGGTTCCATCAGCAATGTCTGCGACGAATTTTGCGATTCGGCTGGGGCGCCAGAGTTGCAGACACGGAAGTGTTGCGCCGAAGTGGGATGTATGCAGTGGACTGCATACTTTTACTGCGACACCTGAGATGGCTCGGTCATGTGAGCCGTATGGATTCGACGCGAATACCGAAACAACTTTTATACGGTCAGCTGAGTATAGGGAAGCGGCATGCTGGGAAACCCAAGTTACGTTACCAGGACATGATTAAAGTGAGCCTCACACGTTCTAATCTTGATTGCAGATCATGGGAATGGAAGGCGGTTGATCGTGGTGCATGGCGCGATCTAATCACGAAGGCAGTTGCTGAGGTGCGGGAGAAAGCCCTCATGCATGCAGAGAAGAAGCGGCAAGTGCGGAAGCGGCAAGCACCGATGAATTGTACTCCATCGACATCGAGCGCATTGTGTTGTAGAACATGCGGTCGCGAGTGCCTTAGTCAGGCAGGCCTAGTGAGCCATGAGAGAGGTCACTCGGGACCACTGCCGAAGCGACGACGGGTCCCGCAGTGAACGTAGGCAGCACCGGCGCAGCGTTTGTAGGCACGCTGAATTCGATTTACTAACCGCATGCTTGCATGCTAAGTCTCTTTATTTCAGGTGGTGGGTTTTCGGTTCTCTCCTAATGCATTTCTTTCTCATATAATTGTCTAGTGGGCCATGAGCTAGGTCCTTTGGGGCCACTACAGAAGCGACGATGGGTCCTGCAGAGAATTACGACGAGCCGGCGCAGCGTTTGTAGGCACGCTGATTTCGATTTACTAACCGCGTGCTTGCATGCTAAGTCTCTTTATTTCAGGTGGTGGGTTTACAGTTTTTACCTTAATGCTTTTCTTTCTTATATAAATATCTCCATGTACTCTATTCCATTAACTTGCACATATCGCTTTAGCCAGTTGTATTCGATTTCCATAAGATTTTTGTGTTCGTGGCATACCGTGAACTATACTTCCTGACTTCGTGCACTTAGCTGGGATGTGTTTGTAAACAACTTATTACGTATGCTATTTAATTAAGGTTTATGTCACCGTTTCCTTATGCATTAATCCAGTTTTTCTCTTTTTCTTTCTCTCTCTCTCAAGTGATTGGCTGTTGTTTGATATCCCCGGTGTGGCTGCGCTTGATGTGCATGTTGACAAGGTGCCTACCTGTCTATTACCCACTACCTCGTCCATACTGGCTCCAGGAGACAGTTGGTCGTTGCTGGAGGGGACGGGGTGCACGGTTCTTGTGGCCGTGTTAGGCTCGAAGAGTGGTTCCATGCACTCAGTATGGAGCGGACTACGGTCCAGCCACCGCCTTGTGTGCGGTTGATTCCCCAAATACAGCGGGCTTGTGTTTGCCTGTGAAGGAGTGTGGGCCGGCTCCGTTGATGAAACGTGGTTCCCATCCACATGCCTCCCGGTCTTATTCCTTCGGGTTTACACTGGATATGGGGTGTGTGGTTGGAGCTGTGGGTGGTGCAGCGCAAGCCATCCATGGTCCCTCTGTAGGCGCAGGCGTCCTGTGGCTTGCCACAGTGACAGGCAAATCCGAAACCGGATGCCGCCAACCATTTCCTTTATGTATTGCGGTACAATAGCGGAGGTGTTTTACCATCTCTAGCTGACATGTATAATGATGATGATGATGATTGTGATCACAATGTCAGTTATGTCAGGGCGTAACCACGTCTCCATTATAACAATGAGGTCGCAGGCTTTTGATCCTTGACGCAGCCACATTTCGGAAAGTTTACTCAGTAAACTTTGAGCACTAATCTAAATACATGGAAGCTTATTGGATGTCAAAAACTCTTTACAAGCAGTAGTTAAAG